AATGAGAGGTACTTGATCTTCCTTAAGTCCAAAATACTGCCATGACCAACCAAATTCATTGTCTCAGAAATTGATATTGAGAGAACAATAACAGAATGCAAATAATTGGATACCAACCTGGAAGGCACCTTGACTAGCGTCAACATCTCCCACCAGAAAGCTTATTCCATCTTGTCTGTATTGCTCAGCAGCTTCACGGTATTTTGATTTGAGAGAATCGGCAGCTTCAGTAGTGAAGTTGACAAAGAGCATAGCCTACAATTTTATAATCTTAACTCAAATTACCAGAAGACAAGGGGCTAAAAGATGGGGAAGACAAACCTAAGAAAAAAACAAATAAGGAGTCTAGTGAAAGGATACAAAAAATAGAGCATAATACACTGGTTTTGCAAAATGATGGATGGAGAATTTATACCAGATAAAACTAAGGTGACAGATAAATCAAATTCATTGTTACAATATGAGTAGGATGCACCCTCTGACTTCAAGTTGAAAATGTAGAGATCACCTAGGATAACATATTACCTTAGCATTGGGACTATTAAAGAATTTCATGACGTAAGGGTGGTTGCTTGGGTCATTGTTAAAGATAGTCACAATAGGGATACTGGCTTCTTCAACAAACTTCTCAAGCGCATCCACATGGAAATCCTACAATCATGAAAAAACCACGCCAATTATTCACAATCAGTCAACATAAAATACCAAATCAGATATTGTTGAAAGAATCTGTGAGCGAAGGATCAATACCTGAAAATCAACAAAAAGCTCGTCGAAAGGTTTGAATAATCTAACTAGGGGCCCATTTACAGATGATTCTCCACGAGGAAGGTATTTAGCATCCAAGGTGTGCGCAAAATCATAGTCTGCCCGCAATTTCTCTGCTAAAGCTGTGAAGTTCTCAAACTCTTCCCCAGAAAATTTTGGGAAAATCCCAACCTGTAACCATACGGGAGCAAGTTTGCATGTCGAGTCAAGTCAATAATGGAACAAAGGCTTCAAACAAGCATAGTGATCAACCACTTACAATAACAACTTTATTTTCCCCGATAAATGAGGTAGCATCATCAACAGACTTAATTTCACTTGATGCAGGGCCACTTTGTTTCTTTAAATACTCAACAATGCCGTCTGTTTCCCGAGGACCTTTGTATTCTTGAACATCCTTTCCCCCATTCCTCAGAATCTTAATGGTTGGGAATCCCCTAACATCAAACTGCGTCGCAAGATCTCTGTTTTTTTCTTCATTAGCGTCGACTTTTGCCAACACAACCGGAGGATCATGACTACTTAGGATGGAAGCAGCCTTCTCATACTGCATAAACAAAACATGAAAAGGAATCAGTACTTGCATGATCTAACTTGAGGTGATGTCTGAAGAAAAGGAGATCAATGTTACCTCTGGAGCAAGCTTCTTACAGTGGCCACACCTGACAAGACAAACAGAAAAGAATGAAAACGCATACTACTACTCTGCTTATGGGCCATGAAAATGCATATGCTAATTTGAAAGAAAGAGAATTGTGAAAATATGATTGGATCGCCAAGGGCGATAAGTCTGATCCAATTGTTCTCAGAAAGTAGGGCATTACACTACTATATTCAGTATAAAAATTTACTGTCACTTTTAAGCTCTGAAAGAGAATGGATTTCGATTAGGACACTTCTCTTCCACGGTGCAGAGTAGTATCGTACTCCGAAGAAAGAAGTAGAAAAATCATCAGTTAGAAGCCTAAAACCAATTTTTGACAAATCAATCAAGGATTTCTCAAATTTGAGAATCAAAATCAAAGCAAAATGGGAAAAGAAAGGAAAATTAGTCTAAAATACGAAAATCAGACAACAACAAAAATCATAAAATTCCCGTCTGCAATATGAGATGCAAATTAAAACCATCACAAATGATATAGATCTTGAAACTATTACAGCTCAAACATAAGAATAAAGGAACACAGCCTATCATACCAGGGCGCGTAGAACTCAACAACGATGAAATTGTGCTTGCTGACAGTATCAGAGAAGTTGGAGTGATCCAAGGTCACGACGAACTCCTTGCCTTCTGCCTCTTCTGCGGAGATCTGATTTGGAAAAGACAGGATGAAAGAAAGAACGAATACAAAAAGGAAACAGGAAGAAACCCTATCCGCCATTGTGATGAAACTCTTATTACAAAGCTGTTCTTTGTGGGTTTGAAAGACGGTGGCACTGTTGGGTTTTAAGGAGAAAACATCGCAGTAAAGTAGGTAAGGGAAAGAGAACGAGACAAACAGGGCAAAGACACGTGAGCATCTTTGAGATATTTTAGACCCGAGGGCTGTGATGGATTGTATAGTATAGAGTGGAGGGCAAATGCATTTGCACCACATGGACTCTCTGTCTTACGTGGCACGCCATTATTCGAGGAGTCTCGTCACACTTGTGGTTTTTCCATTTTTTTGGGCCCCCAGTTTGCACCCACTCATAACCATTTTCTCATGCGTGAAATTTTTGCCGCGCTGTTCTCGCGTTCTTTAATTTCAATATCTTGCTCCGCCTCGAGGAGTCTAAAACAGGAAGTCCTCCCTTTTTGATTTTAAAATTGAGATTTTACTTAGCTTTTTTATATAAACGGATAAAAAATGTATTCAAAAACAGCGCAACGTGCAGAAAATTTAAATTGATTTTCTCCGTTGTCAGAATCCAGAGTCGCCTATTTTCTATATTTGATGAGATTTGGCTTCGATTAATTTGACAATGTGGGATGAGTATGATAGCTGTTGGCGTCAATGGATCAGATCAAAACATAAAGAAAAGTAAGGTAGTATTATTATTATTATTTTGATAAACGAAGAGGAACCAGTCTAAAACCGGTTCACATTATTAGAATCAGCAAATAAAAGTCTCGACAGAGTCGGGGGACGAGAAAAACTTGAAAAGCCAGGCCAACTAGTAAGTGTCTGTTTAACAAGATGATCCGCAACAGCATTTCCTGTTCGATTCACGTGGCGAATAATAACTTCCCACTCTCTCTGCACCAGGCTTCGAATCTCGGTGAGAAGGTCATTATCATGGTGAGCGCCATCAAGAGAGTCATTCTCCAATATGAGTTGACGAACTCCTAAGTCCCATGCATGTTTGAGCTCCATGAGAATAGCCCAAAGCTCAGTCTGGAGACTATCATTGCCAACCTGTCCATGCGTGGATAAAACCAGAGATGAACGAACAGATGTAATCCCGAAGCACTCCACCACAGCGTCCCTTAGTCAAGGAATTCGAAAACGCCCCATTAACGTTAATTATAACCCATTCTGGTGGAGGAGGAACCCACGTCGCATGACTTCTTTGATGCAATTGTCCTATAAGATTCACACCACCCAAACTATCTTTCATCGTACCCATACTCGCCATGATTGACTTCATGGCGAAAATTATTTCATTGCTTATATCCTTCCCTTCAAATATTCTCAAGTCCCGACGCTGCCAGATAAGAGCCGGCAGCTGATGCCAAATTTAGATCCCTAGTCCTGCTTCACTCTCCCATTAACGTTGCGAGAATTCCAACTTACCCACTGGCTCAACACAGTATCGAAGAACGCGCCTTCATGCTCAGGTTTAAGGAGTTTGCATCAGTGTTCAAACGTACGTGGGCAATCTCGCAAAACATGAATAAGGGGAGAATGACGTCAAGGTGAATTGATTAATATAATTTCTCAATTTTGTAACTATTTACAACTTATTTTTTAAATTTTAATATAATTAAATAATAAAAAAATTTATTAAAATTTATAATAAAAGTTACAAATTTATCATAATAAAATTATAAAATTAAGAAATTGAGTTATTAAAATTTAATACTTAAAACTTAATTTAAATTAATTAATTCTTTTGAGATCTTTTTATCATTCTCCTTTATTATTATTGTATAATATAGAATAATTTCTTTCTTTCTTTCTTTTTTCTTTTTTTTTTCTGCTAGTGTTTTTAGTCTTCTGATTATAGATCTACTCTGCATTTGGAAATAGTAAAATGCACATTTTCTTTTATATACAGGCAATTGAATTCAAATGAATTTTCTTTATGATATCCCAAACGATTATTGAGAAAGGAAAAAATGACGGCAAGAAACGTTGTCATCTGTTGGTACAGAATAAAAGTGAAAAGCACCCTCAAGTCTGTGGGCATGATCAATTCTGCACTTGTTTCCATTGAAATTCTCATGCTACACTGAAGTCCCAATTTACTTTATTATAAATAAATATTGAAGTGCAATTATTAAACTACCCTTCCTTTTTCCACACACAAAAATTCTTTCCATCGTGAGCAATTGAAGCTCGACGTTGACGAGACTTGTGAAGAATAGTTATGGTGATATTAGACTATTAGAGTCCATAGCCTCTTGAATTGACAGAAGTGTGGCCTTTATTACGTATTAAGAATACGAATTTTTGCACTATTTTTTAAGATTGATAGAAAAAATTACACAATAATCGAATTCAAGATAGTGTAATTACGAGCAGATGACCCTTTACTTTTTTTTAAAAAAAAAACATATGCAAAGCAATGTATTATCATCTTATTATTTAAAAATTTTAGAGTGATGTCAAAAAATAATGGTGCAAAGTTTTTTTAAGAGAATTTTTTCTTGGCCAGAGGGTTTTTAATTCTAAATCTCTACCGGTATTCCGTCTATACTCATCACATAAACTATTCCCATATGACTTTATAACCTCACATTTTGAGGTTCAGATCCAAAAATAGTCTTGGCAAAAAGCCGAAAACAAAAAATCCAAAAAATAGTAAAAAGAACCGAAAAAGAATAGGACGTCCTTTTCCTTTCTTGCTTTTTTTTTTTGTTGGAAGGATAAGAGTTGAAAAGTGCTCTTGAAATTAGACAAACAGAAAGAACGAGGAGCGTGTGAAACAGACTCGTGAATAGACTGCTACAGCCTAACGGGTTAGCCTGCGAATTTACCGGAAAGAATACGTCCAGAACCAGGTCACTAAGAAAATACATCAAGAAGTGCAGGACAAAACAATATAGCTTTTCATTTGCCATGAGAATAGAGCATAGTTTAACTCCCTCTAGTCCTTGTTAAACTTTTCTGAGATCTCTTTCCTATTTCCTACCCATATGAAGACAACATCATATACAGTCTCACTACAACCAATCAACCAATAAATAAATGAATTTTCCTGTACAGATTTTTCCCCCTAACTATAGAACGGGTGCTGCAGGGTATAAAAATTGAACATGATCAGGCACCAAACCCTCACTGCAGAAACTTGTTTCAAGCAAAACCTCCTGAAGGCCTTTCTGGGGGGAAAAAATATCTAGCTGCAAAACTTGTCATAAGGTACAAAATGTCACGCATCATCCCCTTTCTCTCTAAACCTCCCACACTACAAACCCATCAACATACAAGCTTTTCTACGAGTTATCAGAGTTTTGAAGTCTGACTTGCTCGTGTACTGCTACGACTTCTGAAGTGAAATTTTCTAATGTCTTGAAAATAGGAACCAAACCTGTAACTAGACTATTAGAAGCTGCATGATGAACCAGTTTAATAGCTTCTTTATGTCTAGCCCTCTCTTCATGCAATCTCTTTCTTATAGAATCTAAATCAACTTTTAAATCATCTAGTGGTGAAACACCACTGTCAGAGGGAACCTGTGACAATGCACTTTTGCCCGGAAATTTTTCATGTTCATGCACTAACCCTCCCATATTCATGCGCAAAGTTCTAAGCTGCTTCTCAAAGTCTTTCGTGAGATACTCTGCTTTGATCCTTTGGCGTTGCTCCTCATCTTGCCTTTCCCAAAGTTCATGCAGTTTTTGAGCAAATTCACTCATCGCATCTGCCACGCCTCTTTCTGAAATTCTAGTCATTGCTTGACACCAATCATTGCAAATAATGAAAACTGCCGGTGCGCCAATTTGACTAGGAGAAAAAGGAGCAATACCATCAGCAGTTTCTTCAGGTTCCTGAAGAAGGCACCTCATGAGCCATTCATTTAAGTTTTGAACATAGGATTTTTGGGTCTTAACCCAATTGTTGAATTGACTGCACCAATTAAGGAGCTCCATTTCAAGTTCTATGGTAGCCTTCAGACTTGCATCTCTTTGCAAAGCAGTGTTCATCTTAATAGACCGAGTTTTACTCTCCATGATTGCTTGGAACTGTTTTTGGTGGCACTTGAGCATGAATTTCCACATTCTAATCAATCTGCCCACCAAATAGGCTAATTATCAAATAAAGAATAACAAAAGACGAAAAAAATGATTTATTTCAATCACAGGCTTCTAATTATCGTAAATCACTTAAATCAGGCTGAAGACCAACCCAAGAAAAAACATTGCAAATATTTGATAGCAGAAAACTAGTAATTTTTTCCTACCCAATTCATAAAGGACAATGATTATAACGTAGATGCGGTCAATAAGAACTCAATCACTTCCCAGTTGATGAGATATAACCATCAAATCGAATCAAATTCTAATTAATTAAACATAAGATGTATCATAATATAATAGAAAGTAGAAGATATCAATCCTAAATATTTGAGGTCAGGAACATACATTTGTAAAATAAAACTCTTCAACAACATTTAAAACATGCAATCTCATCCAAGTTGTGAGACCTCAAACTCAAATGAATGTCAACTATGATATCGCACTAAAATTTGATGCTCCGAGAAAATTTGAAAACATATTACGCATTTCAATCTAATGTCCAAAGGTCTTCTTTTATTATTGGTAATAGAAAAACGTTACCAAGCATTTATGGATAAACATGGGCATGGCCTATAAATGAAGTAATTTTATACCCTTGAATCAACTCTGAAAGTTGAGGCCGCAATTCTTCATCCCTCAGTTTATGTATCCTACTCGATATAGCATCAACACTTCTAATACAAATATTGATTTTTGTGTGCAACTTTCTGATCGATGCCTCAGTGGCATCAATTTTGCCGGATTCAGCTCCTCGATCATCCAATGTTTTCAGTCTCTTGCACTGTTTTTCATAATCAACTCGTAGCCTCTCCTCATCCTGAGACCAATTCAAAAATATGTACATTTAAGAACAAATTGAAATTGACAAAGTACATTTCATCTTTACATCAATTATAACTAGATCTATCTTTTAACATTCTTTCTAATACCACTCAAGTACGAAGAGGCAATTATATCATAGGAATATATAAAAAGCTTCTGTCCTTAGCTTACATATTAAGTTTATAGCAAATCAATTCAATTAGACATCACTGGCTCCAAGAAAACACAACTTTTTGAACCAGTTAAAGAATAAAAATTTTCAAAAATAACATCAATACTAAAGCATACCTTAACTTCTTTATATAATTTCTTTTCCCATGCATAAAGTTTCTCCAATGTAGATGAAAGGTTTCCAGGAGCTGTTTTGAAATCTTTCACAGGTTCCCCACAATAATCTTTTGCCAATTTCATTGCCTTGGGAGATAAGTTTGTTGATGGTCTGGATGAAGGAAATGAGGGTAACTTGGAAGGTGCTATCATATATAAGATCCTAGAAAAGATAACTGTGCAAAACCACAGAGGGCATTATATCAGTAAACACATCATACACCATTGTCGTGACTTGTAACTGATGCTTCTAACTCACATTATGAAGTTTCAAAAGTAGAGAAGATAAATGAAAACCCCACACCAGGGAAAATGAAGAAATAAAACTGAGACCATGCCAATGGATTATAAACACTCATGATACTAATGAAAACAAGATTCGTGCTATAACCATTCAAATTTGTTATTAAATTACAATACGATATGATATAGACTGCAGTCTATCAGTACTTTCTAGATAATGAGTTTCACTAGGAAGAAAGTGGTTATTGCAAAAGGAACTAATTGAATATAACGGATGCTAAAATAAGATTTTATCCCGTATTATCAATAACACAGCAAATTAAAACATACCTTCCAGAAAAACTCGTGCTTAATCACAATCTGCCACACAAAAGTTTTCAGACAATACAGTTTTACAAAAACTTGATCCATAAAATGAAGTAGATGTCTTCTCACTTCCATCTCGATTAAATGTGAGCCCCATGCATTGCACAGAGTTTAAGAAATGGAATATGATAGCACAACCTTCTATAGATTTGTATGTTTATATTGGGATTTCATTCAAGACATGATAGTTTGTGTAAGCTAACACGCAAAACCTATATCAATCACTATTTATCGTATTGCAATGTTCTTGTTAATTTCTAGTAAAGCTACAAGCATGTTGATGAAGCCAAGAACAAACGAGCCAAAAATGCGAGTAAAATTTAGAATAGATAAGCAGGTTGAGAAGTGTCTCAGATGCTTGTTATGTCTCAGCTACAGAGACTCAGATTAATAGATAGATAAAAGCAACAAGCTCGCATTACGCAATCGAAGTATATATATATCCGAAAAGTAAAACATTCCAAAATGAGAGGTGAAAGGGGCAAGACATCGCCTCACAAGAATACAGAAAAGATATAATCGTGTCCTTCGTTCTTACCTTTAAATCCAGCAGCTCTAGACCGATATGGCGATTTACCAACCTCAAGCAGCAATGCAACCTCTTTTCCATAACCAGAGGCTGTCTCAAATTCATTTTTGATTTCCTCAACAACCTCTCGAAGATCCCTCGTACCATGAGCAAACAAAGTAGTTAAGCTACTCAGCTTGGAAGACTCCCCATCAGCCGCTGTCACAGGTGCATCATCGACCTCAAAACTCACACCCTTCTTCCGCACCTGCTCTTCTGGAGAGCTTTCAGAAACAATTGTATCACTATCAGGACTGCGCTTAATCTCTCTTTCTTGAGCTGACAATGAACTGTCGCTGCCATGAAATGGTACTGTCTTGGAACTTCCCTCACTACTGCTTTGCAACGGCACAGCCTTTGAAGTGCCTTCACCGAAATCTTTATCTCTAACTCGTTCTTTGTCCTCATTAATTTTTTTCTTCTCTTTGACAATATCCTTCACCACTTCTTGTTCAGTTTCGTCTTCCAACTCTGGAATTCCTTCTCTCTCCCTCACTTCCTTCGAATCAGGACTACTTGTCGAAGAACCAAACCCGTATCTGCTCTGTGGGTAGTAACCCGGGTAACCATTATCGTAAGTATCAAACACATTGAGAAAATCCCAAGAGGACACTACAGGGGGTGAAGGCGGCGCCGGAGGAGGAGCCGGCGAAGACGGACCTGGCTGATGATTGTATCGATAATCTCCTCGCCACGGAGAACCCATCTGAAAACCGAAGAAGTCAGAATTCCCGAAAGCACCTTGGTTCCCGTAAGATGGGTCTGCCCATTGCGCAGATGCTGCTACATAACTCTCTGGCTCTTCATACACTACTGACTTTCCAGGAGACGCAGACTTTTTCATGTAGTAAGCGTAGGTATTTACCCCAGAATAGCTCCAATCCTGGGCCGGAGAATAAGCCGCATAAGAACGTCCTCCCTCTTCGCCCCCCGGGCTTTCCTCAACATGAATGTGGCTATCCTCCTCAATGTGAATGTGACCAGACGAAGAATCTAAGTTGGAACCAGAATCAGAACCAGATGACAAATTCAGGTGAGAACCCTCTACCTCTTCTTGCCCGGGAGAATTTTCATGTGCCGAATGCGAAATCGAAGTCGAAGAAGACGAATTTGGGTTCTTTCCCCTCAATTTGGCCCTGTTCCCTTTACCTTCATCAGAGGGCAATGTCAGAACCGGAGAGCTAGGGGACGAAGACCCGGCACCAATTACAAGCTCTTCATCGACGAATTTGCGAAGCGCACCTCCAATGTCTTTAAGGGACTGAAAATATGCGACGTGGGCTGCAGCCAGAGCATATCGTTGCTCCGACGCGGCCTTGAGGAACTCCTTCCGTTCTCTGCAGAGGCTCACCACGGGCAAATCGTCCACCTTGGAGGCTCCGCAGCCCATGTCAGAAGCAACGACCACCTAAAAGACCCAAAACAACGACCTGGGTTGTGGAACAAAGCTTCACGCCCGCTCATTGTCTCCATACCTGGCCGTACAAATGCAGAGGCCGACGAAGCATCGTGAACAAACCCATATCCAAAACTGATTCCCTCCGGAAAAGGTGATATTGACAGAGATAGGAAGCGGGCAATAATGGAAAGAAACACAGGCGGAGGAAGCGCTGCGCAGCATATGAAAACATGCTTGGGTTGGGCTCACTTACAGTACCTTACTATATCTATACACTCCCACTGCAAGTTCCTGAACCTCTGGGTGTATATTAATTATAGAAGGATATAGGCACGGAAATGAGTGAAATAGACGAGAGAAATCAGACCGTTGAGATGGACGAGGTTGAATGATGACCGTCCACAGGAGAAGGGGAAGACTCAGAGAAGGAGAATCATTTCCAATCCAATCAGTCAAGTTACGAGATAGATAGAAGAAGAAATAAAAAATAAGAGGAATGGGCATGGAGATCGGTGATGCTGGGGATCCGTAACTTTTTGCTTTGTTCTTGTGTTTGGCGGGAGGGTTTAGATCTCAGACTTTGCAGAGTTGCAGAAGAAGCAGAAGGCTCGCGGAACCCGCCATTGGTAACGGACCCTTTCATTATTACCATCCTCAGCCTTTTCGTCTCTCTCTTTTCTTTGAAATTCTCTTCGCTGGGGTGCGTTCATGCCTACGCTAACTCCGATAAGCCCCGCTATACTCATTCCACGTGGTTATTGGTCACAATAAAATGGCGTAGGTGCCCCTCCATGAGTGGAGGTCCTACATGGCTTGCATTTTCAAACCCTGATGCGATATTTTATGAAGGTTGTGCTGTATTACCCTTGGGGTTCTCTTGGGAGCACAGCCTTTTTAATTCGAACTTCCTTATAATAATAAATGCATGCTTGGTATCCAATGCTGCGACTTACCAGTAGTATATTCTAAGGGGCCAGAAAAAAAAAAAAAAGCAACAGAGGCACTGGGGACCTTTTTAGCCCAAACCCCACCAGCTGAAGAAACTAGTATATAAAAGGAACACAATAATTGGTTGTAATCGTATGGATTATGGTGACTTAAGTGCAAGTTCATGAACTCATATCCGTGTAAATACAAAATATATATATATATATATATTTGAGATACTTACCTCCAATTAACCTGACAATACTTAAATTAATCCAATCAAAGATAACACAAAATGGTATGGCTTGCTATTGGACTATTGGCAGCTTGCATGTCCAGGCTTGGCATACGCTATTACTTCACGACTGGCTCTGCCATAACAATATTGCACATGTAAAAGAATGGCATAAGGAATTGCTTTTAAAAACAAAACAAAATGACAAGGAATAATAATAATGATAACAACAACAATAATAGTTAGCTTGAATTACGGTCAAAATGATTAAAATTCGAACTACTTTCTACCGTAAAAAAGAATATAACTGCTGAAAATGAGGTAAAAAGCTGACACCGTAACGAGCCTGAGATATGACGTGCGAAACAAGCGTTGCATGCCTTTGGAGTGCAGAGGTGAAAGGTGATGACCACATCGGCAACGGGAGTGCGAATGGGAAAGCACAAAATATATCTAAAAGCCCATAATTTTCGAAAACTACAAATTATTAAGAACTTAAATTGCCTTCCAAGTTTTCAATATTATTAATAAAATTTACTTAAATTGTTATTTATTTTTTAAATATTTTCATTAACTTTGTTTAAGATTACGACAATTTAAACCTTGATTATAAAATATTTAAATTTAATACCGAGAAATGTAAAATTTTAAAATTAATTGAAATTTCTATATTCCTCAACCAAAATTTATAAATGTTAAAAGGGCTAATATAACTTTTAATCCTAGATTTTTTTTAGGACCCATTTATTTAAAATTAAAAAATAAGTAATATTTAGATAATTTACAAATTTTATAAAAAGATATTTATTTTGTGAAAAACAGATCTTATTTTATATCTAGTTAAAATAATAAAAAAATAATTATTAGTTAATTATTTTAAAATTTTATGATATCTTATTTAATTTTTTTTATAAAAATAATTTATTATTATATTCTTTTAAAATTTTATGATATTGTTGTCCTCTTTAAAACACTCTTTCTTATTATCATTTTCAAAAGTTTCTTAAAGTGGCTTTTTAAAACAATCAGAAATATGCATTTTTTAAAATTTAATTATTTTTAAAATATTAAATAAATATAAGTTAAAATATACTTTTAATCTTCTAACCTTATAAAATATTTTAATTTTATAAAGTATCTTTTTAATATTTTAGCCATAATATTATTAGTTTTAAATGATTATTTTTGTATCAATCACCGTTATTTTTTAAAAAAATTAAATTTAATATATCAATATTTAAAAATATTTTATTAATATTTAAAAATTTAATGTAAAAATTTATCAGGATAACTATAACAATATTATGGTTAAAGAGCTAAAGAGACACTTTATAAAGTTAAAAGATTAAAATAAAATATTTTATAAAGTTAAAAGATTAAATATATACTTTGATCATAAATAAAATAAAAATCATAAAAAATTAAAAAAAATAAGTAATCTTATAACCAAAACAAATGAATTCTTAATTATCAGTATAATCATTCAATTTTGATTTAATATAATTCAATATATGTAATTTAATGAGTTAAAAATTATAAAAACTGAGTTTGTATCGCATCAAAAAAATAATAAAAACAGGATTGTTCAGAGTCAAAATTTAATAATGAAATGAATAATTAAGCATAAATTTATATAAAAAAAATAAAAAGTTATACTTTGCCAAACGTATTTCGAGAAACAGGGACATCAAAACAGAGCGGAGTTCATCATTGCTCCCACGAACCCTCCGATTCCTCCCATTTGGCGCCCATGCTGGGGTTATTGAGTGAGACGCATGCCAGTCAATTAAATTAAAATACTATTTTTTCCTTAGTGTCAACAGTCAAGTCCTTTTCTAATAACTTAGTTTTTTTTAATTGAACAAAAAGTCTCGTTATTTATAATTTATTACAGATGTATTGATATGTAACTAAAAGATTGACCGATTGTGGAATTGGACAAAGGAATTACCAACACAAGCGCTGACCACCCACGAATCGTGTATCCCATATATATATATATATATATATACTGTCAAAACTGTTACGGCCGAGGAGAAGAAACAAAGTAACAACATTTTCCGGCTACTCATAATAATTTTCACTGATGCAAATTCCACACGCATGCCTCGTGTTTATTGTGTTCAACACACAAATATATTTGTTGCATATAAAAGTTTTAAGTTTAATGTGACTGGCGAACAATTGAAGGAGGAGCTACCGCCATAAGTTAGTTTGCTTGCTACAAAAGGTTTAATTCTTCAAGCAAAGGGATGTCTTCGAAGGCGAAGAAGTTGCCGATTTTTCGATTAGTCTTATCCGTTCATATCTATCATGGTACTAACGTGTTAGACATAAATGTCACGGGTTTGATAGATTGGGCGGGAAAACATATTATAATTGATATTTGTGTGAATCACGATCAGGACCCATATAAAAAAAAAATTAAATACAGCCAAGTCCAATCAAATAAAAAAATATTTTTTAAAATTAAGATTTACGTATTTTTATCCTACGCTATTTTGAAGGCCTTTTAGTTTTCAATAGCGGCAAAAATGTTGACTATAAATTTCATTTGACCTTCATTGTTTTCACACTCTATAATTAATAATAATATTCTTTTCAACTATTCTTATATTGTCCATTCTTTTATATTTTTTATTTTTAAACTTTCACCGATTAATTACATATTACCTTGGACATTATATGCGAATTGCCTTTTTATATAAAAAAAATATAATACATGTTTTGCAAAACTATTAACTATTTTTCATGTTAATCAGTTCTACACACAATATATTAACAACTTTTGTTTGAGTTATTAACAATACGCACAATATATTACCAACCTACGTTATATACAACATATTGACAACCAAGGGCAATCCTATGTGATGGCCAGTGTGGGCAAATGCCCCCCTAAAATAGAAAATATTACATGAATGTATATGGTAAATTTTGCATTCTGCCCCCACTCATCTCTATTTTTTAAACTCGCTGAAATATAGCCCAAATCAAATCACCATTAAAGCTTTGTACTAAATAAATTGCCCCATTGACCCAGGGTCCTAGGTTCACCACTTTTGACAACTAATGGCGGAGCTAGGATCGTGAGTCGGGGGGTGAAGCCAAGACCTTAATATAAGTAAAATATATTTGTGTTTTCAAAATTCATCAAATTTCTTTCTTTCTTTTTTTGTCTTTGTTCTTTAATTCAACTTTCAATTACATATTTGTAAGTATAGTGAGTTAGTGAAATGCATTCAACAAGTTTATTTTTTATTCTTAAATTTTCATTCTTTATTGCCTTTTTTCCAACTAATATTCCTCGAACGATGATGATGCAAGTCTAGTTTAGTTAAATTAATTTTTTTCTTCTATTGTTGAAGGATTAATAAATAATATTGGCACTTCGTTATGGTAAGATTATAGGTTAATATTCACTAGGCTAAGTTAAAAAATTAAATTTTAGATTTAGACTAAATGTAACATTGAAATGTGTTCAAAGTTTAAAATATTAAAATAAGGGAGGTGTAAAGTATGAAAAAGAGAGGGAGCAAATTTTAAAATATGAAAACATATACCCCCATATATGTTATCTTTTTCCAAGTAAGGGGGCACATGTCCAATCAACAGCATGTGGCTCTGCCACTATTGATAATTACCAATATCATATTGATGATTAATGCTTAAACTATTAACAACACACATAACATATTGTCAACTTACATTATATGAAACATATTGACAATTATCCATAGCATATTGATAGTTAATATTTAGGCTTTTAATAACATATCTTGTCATTTTATAACAGATTTGACAGGTTAACCTGAACCACACAAAACATATTAACCACTACATATGGCATATTGACAACTTATGTTTAGATTATTAACAACAAATCTTATTATTTCATAACAAATTTATCAACATGCAGTGGTTGCTAAATTTGTTTTGAACTATACAAAACATATTGATAACAACCCATAACATTTTGACAACTACTAATCATATAGTGACAACTTATGCTAAACCCATCCACAACACATTTTGATATTTCATAATAGATTTATCAGCCCAACTAAGTAGCACTAAAATTTTAAATACGCAATTACAAATGCAAGGCCAGTAATCACCCATGACAAGCATACTCATCAAGAGATAAAGAGAGACCACCCATGACTGATATACTCACAGTGAGAGAAAGAGACAATTCTATTCTACTAACAAGCAATAAAAGACTAGATTAAAATTTCTTCCTTCACAAATTCCTACCTAGCTCACTTTGAAGAAGATCATGAGAATAGGTTCGGATTCTAGCTACAAGATAATCTTATCTAGCTCATTCCGATGACGATCGCGAGACCTTCATTAGCTGCTTAAGACTCCGTCCCTCATGAAAAATCCCTTCCTCTTTCCTTAATTTTTTACTCTTCATCCAGGTAGGGCAAATAAGTCATTTTAGCTGCAGAATTATTCACACCTAAAGGTCAAGGAACTTCACAGTATTTTTTTCTATTTGGTGAGACTTGATTGTATTTAACTTTCTTCTACAGGACCTGATTTTGATTTTCCTTTGATATTTTGATTGATAATCTTAAAATAAGTTTTTCTAAATATATAAACTAAAATGCTATCTTGATCTCTCAATTGTTTTTAATCAAAATTAAATGAACCCACCATACATTACATGGAACTAGCTTGAATTCCGTACATGGCATGAGTTTGAGATCAAGAGATTCTGTTATATAATATAGACTTGAAATGAAAAGGGAAGAAAAATTGAGTCTTCAAACCATGGATATATGTACATGTATAGTGCAAATAGTTTGGTGAACAAATTTAATCAGTAGTCAAGCACATTAAGATTTACAATCATAAAAACAAAACGAGCCTTTCTTGTGTTACAAAGAATCTGAATGATATGTCTGCTATTTAGAAACAATGCAAGTTTCAATAAAATTTTGTATATTTTGCAATGGTACTGACTTCGTTAATAAATAAATTAGGTTATTTCATATTATCGAAGAGCCAACACCATCAGTACTAGATTTAATTTTTTTAAATCCATCTCGTTGTCGATGAAATGGTTATTTATTTATTAATTAAATAGCTGGCAATGTAACCAATCTGAGGGGGAAGAAAATCAGGGGTAAACTATGACGACCCTGAGAAAGGAGACAAGGTGGCCCGGAAACGTCATCGTTTGATGATGATGGAATGGAAGAGCCATACCACTCACCTAGTAAGTACAATCTCACTTTCTGATTCTGTATCCGGTGGTAAAGAGGGCTTGTCCTTTCTAAGTCGAAATCCTTAATGAGACCTAAAGCACAAGCAGACAGTGAGCTCCCATCACTAAAGTGTGTTTTATTATTGGGGTTTTCCTGAATCTCACTTTTCAAACCTTATTAACCATTTGACTTCTTCATTCACTCGTCTAATGTCATTCTAGCTAACACCACAAAATGCCTCTCCCCGTTCTTCCCATTCTTCCTAACTAATTCCTCCACATTCCTTTACCAGGCTAGCAACAGTCAAGATCTAGGTGTAACATTTACATTCTACACAATTGACATTCGTGGAGATCGAGAAGATTGAGAGCTCGCGTTGGTTTAGAGGATGAAAATTCTGCGTCTTGAATTCGAAATTTCAAACTTTCAAAATAAAGACTCCTTTTATTTAGTGGGGCAGAAAAGTAAAAACAAAAGCAAAGGTCTGGTCTAAAAAGTTGGAGTTCAAATTCATCTCGATCTTGAGCCTCTAGCCCTCCATTGTCAACAACGTGACGCGGAAATGGAACCGCGGGCTTCTAAAAAACTGGAGCGTTCACTTTTGGTGTCGGTTTTTCAACTAATGCTGCAACATTTGTCGTTGCACTTTTGTGGCTTCTGTACTTTTGTCTCAACTTGTGATGGTTGCGTACATTAATTACACCCAAGCAACCACTAATTTGGGTGATGTTTATTTACTTTTTTAAAAAAGTTAATTAAAAATAAGTTCCTTGTGAAAAGTTTATATAGTTATGTGCACCTACTAAAGATATTGCCACGTCGAAAGCAATGCAGAACCTCCCCCCCACCCTTTTTTTCTCACAAAAAAATTGTAATCGCCGAAGACGCACCTAAAAAAAAGAAAATTGCGTAAAGGGATTGAAAAGTTTGCGTTACTTATCCCACGCAGGGAAATGGGGTTCAGATGCTCCACCTTGGTGGCGCTGAGGAATCGAGCTTTTGAAATTTATTAGAGAGCTAAAGAGAGAATCATCTATCCCTAACACGCAATAAATGCGAATCAAAAACAAATATAATCATTCATGAAAGGTGTCATCATCGTTCAACCAAAAAAACGTAGTAGTATCGCTTTTTTATTTACCCGGCCCCGACCCCATATTCTGCTATGTTCTCTCTCTCTCTCTGAAGGCTTCTTGATTTAATCCTCAGGTTAACTTTGATAACAGCCTGGAAGGATAAACATTACGGCAGGATAATGCCGGAAGGGCATTATATGTGGATTCTACTGGTTATTATTTGTTGCCGTTCACTTTGTGATCACTCAATCACATCTCTTTTTTATTTGCCTTTTCTTTCCTTTTTTTTTTTCTCTTTTTAAACGGAGTTTGCTTTATTCACCTCGTGGAGAAAAGTGGAAAATTCCTTTTTTTTTTTCCTTTTCTTTTTATGAGTAATTGAGCATTATTATTCTGTTCTAAGGGTTAAGCAATCATTTCATATTTCGTACATATATATATATATATATATATATATATATATATTCCAATGTTCTGTTTCGTTTCGCCCTTCCGCTAAATATCATTTTCATGAATGGATCTCGAGCTCTCCTTATAACCTGTTGGTTCTCATTTGAGCTTTTTGATTAACCCATTATTTGAAAATAAAGTTTGCGCTCTTGACAACATATATCTTCCCTTGATTCATGAACTCGGATTTTGCATGTCAAATTTATTAGGTGGTCGAAGGGATTCTTTTAGGTATGATCTAATAAGATTATTTATGAATTTTACCAAATCTATCGTTCTTTTATAAATCTATATCTATAATTTTCCCATTACAATGATTATTAATATTTATAATATGTTAATAATTGAGATTGATTGGAGGGAGAATAAATGGACGAAGGGTACCAAAATTTCTCACATCTACTCAAATAATCTTATTAATAAAATATATCAAAAAAATCGTAAATTTTGTATTGAAATAATATTTAACTTGTGAAACATATTTTGAGGATTGGGTATTAAATACGTGTTTAATTTTACATTGGAAATTATAAAATTAACTTGGTGGCTTTGTACGTAAAATTAAGCATTCACTAAATCTCTCCATCAAGGAGGGTTGAGTTGAAAAATTTGGGGCACGAAGGAGCACGTCTTACAACTAGGGCGGAGCATGTAATCTGGGGCCGATGGGTTAATATTTTTTTCAAAAGCAAAGTCACGATTATTTAAGTTTTGCTTTTGTTTTAAAATTATCACTTGACGCGGCTTGACATTTGATTAAACTACAACCACAATATGTAAAGAGGCTGGTTGAGGGTTTCAACTTTCAATATTAAAAAACTACAACCACGTGTATTGTAATCGTATCTATGGCAATTAAGGCCTGTTTGGTTGGATTTTGAAACTTGGTTTGGCGAGGAATAACAATTTGTTGCTTCTGGGCAACGGTGGTTTTGGGGTGGCTCAAACACAGCACAATCAGTTGGGAAGAAGTCACAATGAGCACCTAAGCGAACTAAAGCCACGTGCTATTCGAAAGGAGTTTTGCAATGGTGAGTGCTAGAAAAGGGTAGGGAGCTTTGCACTTGCTTTTATGGTGGTAGGAAAGCTCGAGATAAAAGAAATAAGGAAAAAGGTGAGAATCTTCATCATTCATCCAAATCCAAAAAGTTTCGTCAAACATGATGCGTTTACAAGGGTAAAAGATAACACTACAATCTACATGCTTCCATTATGGGAACCAAACCCTGATGTTCCCCCAGCTTTGCACTTTTCCGGTAATAGTACAAAAGAAAGCTACGAGCAACACACACACACACACACACACACAATGTGTATGTATATAAACAATTTGGGTCATTTTCCGTACAAATCGACCCACCACATGAAGCAGTCCATTTGTAAGTTGTAACTCATGAATAAACACACACATCTATAAAACCTCATATCCAAATTTCTATTAGCTTGGACACTGGCTTAGCTTCTTGACGTCCCAAGAAAAGAAAGGGAGTTCGCAGTGGATTACCTCTCCAGCTAACCAAAACCATTCACATAAACTAGTGGAAATAATAATAATAATAATAACCTACAGGCGGTTCAACGGTTCCTGGAATACTCTAATGGCTTCTAAAATAAAACAACCGTCCAAAGTGGTTGGCCGAAACGATTTACCTATTCCCACCATTCTCAACCCCAACCCTTTACCAATGGCCGAGGGTCGAATTCAGACTTCAAAGAAAAAATACATTCCACGTCGTCCCTCTGGACAGACTCCAGTTATTCACCGTTTTGACGGACGGGTGAAGGGGCAAATGAGAGACTTGAAAGTTGTCAAGATAATCTACAATTCTTCTTAATATCTATCCATTTTGAAGCGAAAATTAACCAACAATAATCAATAGATACAATAAAAAGAGAATATATAACAAGTACTTAACAAGAAAAAACATAATAACTTATTAATAGTGCAGATTATTTTATAAGTTTCTTATCATGTGGAAAAAAAGTGTTATATATATATATATAAAGTAGACGACGAAGCCATTTTTCACTTGAGTTTGAAGCTAATTCATGATTTATAAATAATATAAACTTCTATATAAATTATATAGATAATATAGGTCCATATTAAACTCAATTTTCCCTTTCACCCGTTACCTCTATAGTCTCTTCTCTGTCCAAACTTTATAAAATAATCTATGTTGAATAATTTAGGAAGATGCGGATTCAAGAAACACAGGGCAACGCCCGCTACATCACATCAGGGTGAAGTTAGACACAGAACAAGTCAACAGAAAATCGGAAGCAAGAAATAGACTGCAAATTATTTTAAGCATTTCCAATTCAAGCCACCTCAAGCGGACCATTTCAATTTGTCAGCATTCAGAATACCAAAAACTGAGTCCGTTTTTTCCTTTTGATCGCTAACGCCTATGATACCTAACCCACAACTTGCTCATGAGCATCCTAGCTAGACTATTTCCCCCAAAAAAAAAGAAAAAATAGTTTGAAGCCACAGATTGAAAAATTTTCAAATAAAGGAAAAAGCCACCAAGAGGCTCTGGATGTTCGGATCCACCAACCCCTACCACATGACCACGTGTTTTTACCCCTTTTCTTTTTCTTCCATCTCTATCATCTGTGGTCAAACAATTTCAGAATTTTATAGGATTACAAGAGAACTAGTTATTTAGACTCATTTATGCTAAAAGAAATGTCTCCATCATAGCAAGAAAAAACTTGCTAACTTGCCCAAAATTAGAACAAACAAGGACATATGCCAGAGCAATTATAGAGAAAACAGGAAAAAATTAACTAAAACTGCCAAAACAACAATGACCATTATGATATTCCGAAAATAGCTTGACAATAATTGCTTATCTGGTTTTCCCCTAATTGCTACAAGCTCAGCCTAAATATTCTGATTTATGACCTCTGACAGCTTCTCTGCAATTCAAACAAGCACATTACAGATTTTTATTCATTTCCCTAAGAGACTGCCAACTTCTACTTGCAAGATCACAAGATTTGAAATATAGCTTCATTACTCGTGTTATTTCACCAAGAGTTAGCTAAACAAAACATGACTCTTGCTTTGACTCCTGCAACAAACAAGGAAAAGAAATGCAGTGAATATGCCAACTTAAGATTTCCCCCGTGTGAGTCTTTCACATAGGAATACTTAAAAATTTCTATAATCATCGTCAACATGAGAATGAAAAATTGATAAGTGATGCAATAGTGCAACCATTCCAGGCGAGCACTTGACTGCTTCAAACTTGTCAAGCCTTTGAAGATACATCATCAATCACAATGCCCTGGAGACCAAATGCAAATGAAGCTCTTATTAGACAATTTGGTTTAATGTGTAGCTGTTTGCTCTAGGCACGCACACAGCATAAGCATAATAAAAGGTAACAGAAGTTATGTAAGCTACAATAATAGGGCATGTAGCTTAGTTATATAAGCATAGCCATCATCTATTTCAGGCAATAATTACAAAATAGTAACAGCACGTACGGACCTCGGGAGGATCAAATTTAGCTCCAAGGTTACTGAGTTTGGCATGAGCTTGAGCATAATCTTTAAAGAATGCTTCCTGATCTGCAGCATACTTTTCAGCATAGACCTGCATATTTATCAAAAGTTTAATGTCAGATTGTAGACATCAGCGAGCCATGAATGTAAAACCACTTTACCTTAAATGATGGATCCTCAAAGAGAACAGCATCAGTTGGCAAGATCAATAGATTCTCATCCTTTTTTTCTTTGATGTCCTATACGTATAAACGACAGTTAAAAAAGCTTGTCCTTAAAAAAATTACAAGAGAGTATCATGAACCCCTAACCCCCCCCCTTTCCCCTCCTGCTGCCGCTATTATGATGAAAACACAAAAACTAATGATTCCTGACCTTGAAGTAAGAGTTATCAAACTTCAACCATTGCACTGTCCAAGATTGCCCACCAGGGGCTCCTGGCCCATCTTTCTGTTGACAAAGAGATAATGCGCATGAATATTTTAATTACTTGATAGTCAGCATGTAATTCAACTTTAGGATTGATTTCACAAACTAGACAGGTCTTAACAATTGAAGGTGGTTAACAAAATAACAACAACAAAATAAGGACAATCAAAAAAACAAAAAGTTTGCAGCATATATGATTCCATTTTATAAACTTCAAGCGTTGGAGACTTGGATAAAAATCTCCACTAAAATCAATTGTCATATAGTAAGATGCACTTCGTTTATGCAACAAGAACATAGTAGCTCAAATTCAGACTAAAAAACTTGCAACAATAAGATGATAGTGCCTGAAAGACACATTGAACTGGTGGATAAAGATTAAATCCAATGGTCATGTCCATTTCAAACAGGAATTGATATAAAGTTCAAGAATCCTTGGAAAGCGCCTTCATAAAGTAATTTTGTTTTCAGGTTGTACGTAAAATTTTATTAGAAAGTGCAAATAAAAGAACTTCCAATCCTAAAACCACCCCCAAGAATGCAAAAGTAGCGACCACTCTCAAGGAGTCCAAACTTTTCTTCCTTGGTACTTAGTAAAGACCACTTGTTCACTCCCCAGGCTTGTATTCGCAAGCTTATATAAAAAGCCTCACAGTGAGGATTACGGAATATGTGAGCAACTCCAACCATAAATGAACTGAATGTTAGGAGAGGGGAAAAACCAATATAAGGACACCAAACTACATGAATACTTGGTCTTTATATAATAATGGCGCAGTATTAGAATATGGCGTGCAAGTCCAAAGGCATATATACTTCCACAGATACAAGTCTCATGACTTGTAGAGAAAAAAGGCTGATAATATACCGTATACTTAGTCTCAGGCTTGCCCCACCCACTACGTTCTGGTCGAGACCTCCCCAGGGTGTGCGCACCAGATAGTGCAACTATTTCCTTGAAATGCAGAAACTTGATCATCAACAACACAGGTGTATTATGAACATCTCGAATACCACCTCAACTAATACTATAGGAATTACCTTGTCATTTAAGCCCATCCTGTAGAACACTTGCCGTAAATGGTCAGCAGGTGAAGGGGGACCAGCATCTAAACAAAGAAAATTTCCAAGGATAAGTTGGTCGACATTGTAGGAAAAAGGAAAAGTGATTCAATAGAGGAGAGTCATCCCCTAGAAAACAAAAATATGATCTCAGCTTGAAGTTTTCAATTTGAAGTCAACTAAGTTTACATATCAGCTATATCTCCAGAAATGTAAAATTTTATGTTGCTAACTAAAGGCCCGTTTTAGCTTATTTCATAAAAAAATTCACTTATTTTTTGAAAAAAAAAATCTATTTCATGAATTTTTATAATGTTTTTTTAAACTTTTGGAAATAATCAACATCTAAAAAAAATTTATAATTATTTTAAGAAACTACTTTGAGTAACTTCTAAAAATAATCTAGTGCAGTAGATGAGAGATAATGATTTAAAGAGGCGAGACACGCAAAGATATTATAAAATTTTAAAATAATATAATAATAAATCATTTTTTTAAAATAAAAATCAAGAAAAATATCATAAAATTTTAAAATAACCAACTAATAGTCACTTTTTTATTATTGTAACCAAACATAAAATAATATGTGCTTTTTATAAAATCGCTACTAAATAAGTCTTTTTAAAATCTTTAAATTATCTAAAAATCATTTATTTTTTAATCTTAAACAAATGAGCCCTAAATATATTTGTAGACTATGAGGAAATTATGGTCATATTACGAGGAAATTATGGTCATATGAACTAGGAAGGTACATTTTATGATGCTGAAATTAACATCGATTCATATAAATCATATCTCAAGAAATGCGAAACTTTACATTGCTAGTTGAATATATCAAAAGAATACCAGGATATAATGGGTTTTTGAATCAGGGAAGTATATTTTATGAAACTAAAAAAACCACACTCAAAGAGAAATGGAGTCCAAGAACTGGATGTAAAGATATTCACATTGCTCTCACGAAAACTTTCTGCCATATATATGGGCCCTTTTTTGCATTCTCAAGTATAAATGGAACATACCCATACACATGCCCTTTTTTAGGCCAGACAGGATCCATCAGTATCAGGAAATTAAAACTTCCTTCCTTCAAAAAATACCACAAAACTTTTTGTGATTTGTTGTCATAATAATACCCCTTATAAAGATAAAGTTCATACTTATGCAAGATATAACTGATAATTTACTTACAGCAGCCTTTATATTTCATCATGTTTCCTACACATACGGACACACCAAAAAAAAAAAAAAAAAGCCCAAGCCACAAGCGACCACTTTTTTCTTGGGATAGCCAGGCTAACTCTATGAAGATGTCAGATGGCTTAGCAATTTGAATCAAAGAAAAAAGAACGTCTCTGTCCTGATCTTCCTTGTATTTAAATTCATCACAGCATAGTCAATCCAAGTCCTACAACTGATAGTGATGTAAAGGAGAAAATATTCTTTCACAGTATAACACCCAATGCCCAACAGAAATACGTCCCACTTACCAGGAAGTCTCCCTTCTTCAGGGCATTCTTCGGGTCCAGAGACATCCACTCTTCCGTATTTCATAGGGATTTTTGGGCCTCCAGCCTCCTGAACATACAAGGAATTGATCAATATATCTTTTTAATTAGTTTAAAATGTCCATGGTTAATCCTGAAGCAGAAAAAGTACAACCTCTACAGCAGTAGCGCTAGCCAGCTGAAATAAATCAGCATATGTCACACCAGAGTACTTGTCTTTGATTGGCTTGAGAAGATTCAATGCATTTACAAGTCCTGAAGCGAAAACTTATCAGGTAACATTACTGTAACCAAACACAGAAAAAATCAGCGAATAATATAACATATTAACATTACCAGCATTGGCTGCATGTTTCAGCTCAACATCAAATCTCAAGCTACCATTAGCCCCACCTCTCTGAGGCCACTCCTCAATATTCTTATTATAAGTACCAGCATCATGCCATCCCAGGCGAATCTATATCACAAAAAGCAACATAAATTGTGCTTGTGAAGCATGGACTAGATCAAAAATTATGTCAGTTTGTCCGTAAAGCATTAGCTGAACCTTCAAGTACAAGAGTAAAAATTTCACACTGAAGTAATGTAGATAGGATCAACATCTCAGACCTTGAATTGACAAAGTAAATATCTATTATCCCGTTTCACAGGTGAGGCATCTGCGATGCTAAATATTGTAATGTAAGCATTTAAATAGTAAGTCAGCTCTAAATTCCTTCACAAATTCAATACGGCAAACTTGTAAATTTTAAATGAATAATAATAATCGTTACCAAAAAAAAAAAAAAGTCTCTAGCGCAAAAGTGAGATCACCGAGACTTCAAAAGCTATCCTTTTCAGTATTGCAGACAATATAAGTTCAAAAGCCTTATAACAGGCAGAGAAGAGAGGGTGATCAATTAGGGTGAGTTCACTGGAGACCAGTAGTTATAGCCTTCCAGGAAGCGTTAGTAAAAGAAAATTGTCGAAAATGTCCAAGTATGACACTATTACCAGTATTGGATGGCAGAACTTAGTCCTGAGAATCTGCTTAATATCCTCTCTAGCGCTCTTCAACTGATCGGGATCAGATGCAAACGACTTGGGCGCAGAGACTGTGACGTATCCTCTCCGCGATACACGAGCCTCAGCTCTTCGCTGAAAATCGAGAGTGATTGTTTCAAAAAAAAAAACTAATCGCAAACTCATGCTTCAGAAAGAGAACAAAAAAGAATCTCGGAGAAGCACACTGAATAGAAAGAAATGAAACCTGATGGAGAAAGAGATGGGAAATGCGAGGGGAGGATCTGAGGCCAGACGAGGAGGATGAGGAATAGAAAAGGGAAGGTGAAGGAGCAGAAGCGGCAAGGGAGAGGGAGGCTCTGAATGAGGAGGAGAGGAATCGAGAAGAGGCGGTGGCGGAGGCGCCACCAAAAGCGGCCATTTTGGGGGGAGACCGGGGGGATGGTGAGGGCAGTGAAAGCGAGAGGGACACACGCTCGGCCATCTGGGCGGGGGGCTTTTATATGGTTCGCCCGACCCTCTTGCTCTTGGATTTATGATCTGCCAATACCACGCTGCAACTACAACCCAAACCGCGAAGTCTGGGGATTGGCCCAACGCAACTATGCTTTTCTCGACGGCTCTATGAACTATGATCCCACTCCATCACTTCTTCACATGCTCTCGATATATATAGTCCCTTACCTTCGATGCTCTAATCAACCTTTGCCACAATCACCTGTTTCTGCGTTTATGTCCCCTTCTACATCGTATGTTGACTATCTTGAGTGATTGATTGGTAGGATTCCAGCGACAGCGCGCTGCATTCCTTTATGTTCTTTATTGTTGAGCACTTGAATTTAGGTAAGGTATTGTTAATTAATTACTAGTTTTATATGTATAAAATCGTGGGTGACGGCTGATGACAGAGATATTTTCTACAAGCACTGTGAGAGTTTTGAAGAGTATGCGGTTGTAATGGGTGGAAGTTTACTCCCCCACTCTTTTCAAATACTACAGTGTAACGTTTGGACTATTAAATTTAAATTTAAAATTTGAATTTAACTCCCATATTTTAAATTTTTTATTTGGATAGTTAAAATAACAAAATTAATTATTATTAGACAGTATTTTGAGGATGTATATGGAGTTTGAAGTAACAACTTAAAAAAAATTAGATTAGGAAAGAATTAAGATAAAGTTTGAATTTTTATAATTTTCAAATCTTCAAGTAGAGAATTTGGCACAAATCCAAATTTATATATGTGTGTGTATCCAAATATAGTATAAGAGAAAATAAATAATTTGTGTAATTTGAATAAGTTAATTAAATATAATAATTATATTTAAAATTAAAAATTAATTAAATTATCTTTATAATTAATAAAATCAAGTCACTCGGTGAAAATAAATATTGATTTTATAAAAAATAATTTAATAAATGCAAGATGCTCCTTTCGGTCTACTTTTAATCATTTTACTTATATTAAGAAAAATTAATTTTTTCATATAAAAAAAAGATTAAATGCACTTTCATTTTTATTCTTAACTTTAAATAATTATAACTATATTAAATATTTTCATGCTAATTAAAAATGGATAAAATTAAAATAAATAGTTTAATTATTATAGAGTATAAATATAGAAATTATTTTAAAAAATATCTTGTATTTTTTTAAAAAAATATAAAATATTTTTTAAGGAATTAGATATTAAAAAATGTAAGGTATTTTTAATTTTTTGAGATGTAATCATTATTTTTTAAAAAATTTTTATATTTATTATAAAGTATTTAATATGGAATGAATATAAAAAATAAAATTAATTTAAAAATAAATAATTATTTTATTAAAAATTAAATTAAATTAAAAATATTTTATAGTATTTTTTAACTGAGAGAGAGAGTAAATATAATTGAAGGGAGTAGCCTTGAGCGAATATATGACAGGGATGAACTTGGTTGGTAAAAAAGGCAGGGGAATCTTGCAGAGCACGGTAGGAGTGCTATACGCGATTATCAATAACGTCATGGTCAAGCTCAGAGCGTTGAAAAACTCATCCATTCTACTGAAAAAAAAAAGAAAAGAAAAAAAGCTTACTTTAGACATAGGCCAGAAACTTCCCCAGGTAGCCACTCTTTGGCTCCAAGTAATGCCCTGTTTTTTAATTCTCACGCCTCAGCTTGGTTAGATTATTTAATTATTTTCGGATGGGGAAGCCCCGCTGCATCCTCCAGGAGAAAACATTCATTCATCAGATAACACCATTGGCATTTACTCCTAAAAATAACGGACCAAAACTCTTGCTTCAGCCTCTCACTCCACCACCTCCCTCTCTCGCTCCTCTGGGCCTCCTCCTCCTCATCGTCCTTGCATGCTGAAATCCTAACTGTGTTCTGTAACATTTTAAATTTTAATATTTAAATAATAAATTAATTATAATAAATTTCAATGTATACGAAGGGGATTTTGATACATAAGAAATTGTTAAACGTCTATTGAAGATTAAGAATTTGAAAAGTAAGTAAAGTAATTTATTTTAAAATAAAAAATTATCTAAAATAGAATAAATTATACGAATTTATCTTCAAACATTAATGATGATGATGATGATGATGATTTACATACACACATATATAAAAGCAAGTGCGCAAGAGATTGAATATTTATTTATTTATATTTTTAATTTAAAATATAAAATATATTACGTACATATATAAATAAATAAAAGGAAAAGAAAAGAAAGGTGTATACATGTATGTGTGTTAGTACATGTATGTGTGTGAACATTTTCATATTGGTAATTATAATCTGAAAATCAATGGTGGAGCCACATGTAATTGAGGGGAGCATCACTTGAAAAAAATGACATGTTTAGAAGTATAAATTTTTATATTTTGCAATGTATACCTTTTACTTATTTTACTTTGCACTCCTTTATACCCTTTTATTTTTATATCCTAAACTTTAAACTCATTTCAATTTTATTTTTTTAGCTTAGATCTATTTAAATTTTTAAATTAGCTTCATAAATATTAGCTCACAATTTCACTATACCTAAATACCAATATTATTTATTAATTTTTTAAAAATAAAAAAAATTAATATGATTAAATAGACTCGCTCTTCTTCCTGGATACTGCTCATGAACTAGGTAAAAAAAAAGATAATAATAAATAATGAAGATTCAAAACTTAAAAGTAAATTGAGTTAATATTTTTCGCTAGTTCGCTACAGTTACGAATCTACAATCAAAAGCTGGATAGAAAACAGAAAAAGAAAAAAAAAAGAGAAATAGTTAATTTAAAAAAATAAAAATATTTATCTTTTATTGAGGATCTTAACTTCATAATTGTCCTCTAATTTAAAATCTTAACTCCACCACTAGTGAAAATATCATGTGTGGATGTTTATACTGGTGTGTGGGTATTTGTATACAATTATTAAAAAAAAAAAAAAGAGGCTTTGGCCCACAACTCTTTCCCCATTTAATAACTACCCTAGGCAACAAGCGTACACACCGCACAATTTTCCCAGCGACAACACAAGTGAGCCGGTGAGAGAGAGCTAGTGCGTCACCCAGCGAGAAAGTTAGAAGTAACATGTCAAATGTTTTAACGGTGGTTTGAAGATTTATAAAATAATATAAGTGTTTTAAAATATTCATCCTATCAATCTATTTTTTTAACTTTTAATTTTTAGAAGATGAAAATCTAGATGGTGGTGTATTTAAAACTTTTGGATCTTTTTGTTAATAAAAAGTGACTCTAAAAATCTCGAGTGTGGTATATTTAGAACTTTTTGTCAATTTAGATTTAAATTGATGGATGTTCGAATTAATTTAGTTTTAAAATGTGTTTTGTTTAAGTTCTCAAACATTATGTGTATCTTGATTTACTTTATTTTGAATTTTAGAATATTTTTAAGTAACTTATTATGTTTAATTTCATTTTAATTTTTTTTTATTTTTTTGAAGTAGGGCTTATGGACTCGACTCTAAGTTCTTTGAATAAGGCTGAACCTCAAGAAATGGCTCAAAATGAGAAATTAGGCTTATAAGCCTAGGCTCTTATGAGCCGGGCCCATATGGGCCATGCCTGCCAAATTCTCAACTCTAGCTCTTACTACTTAGATTTGCTATGTGGCTACATGTGAGCTTAAGGAGATCAAGTAACTCAAGGTTTTTTTATATGTATGCAAGCTTTGTGCTTGGTAATGAATGTGAATAATCATAAATTTAATTGTAAGAAATTTATATGTTACTTTAATCCTGTCAAGTATGCTTGTAGCTTGGCTATGTATTATTGTTAGCATTTCTTTTCAAGCATGCTTGTGAATGCAAATTAATACTGTTTATTTTATGAAAATTGTATATTATTAAAAAGTAATTTATTTCTTTCAAGTATGCTTGTAAATTAAGTTGATCAAATGAGATATTTCTCTTTCTTCTTAGGCATGCTTGTATGTGATATAAGTGTTGTATATGTACAGTAGGCATTGGGAAATGATTGATGAAGAGATGATGATGTTGATGTATAAATGAATTAGGGACCACGTGGTTTGCCACCACTGCACACATAGTGGTTGGCCTCTTTCAAAGCCCCATTCCTCAATACTTACCTAGCCAGGTTTATAAAAGGAAAATGTAGGACAATGACACCTCCTGTTGGGTTCTTCGAGGAGGGAAGTTATAGTTTGGGCTTGGGTTTTGTACCTTTGGCTAAGTACATCTCGAGCACTAGAAAAGCTTGATTAGTCCAGCATGTAAGACAGACCGTAATTAAGTCTATGGTTCCAGTCAATGAAATAAGGATGGATGGAGTGACAAAGGAGATTATTGATATTGCGTATTAGAATGTTATGAGCTATGTCTTGTGAAATTCTTATATCATTGCTGAATGATTCCCATGAATATTTGTATAATTATAGTATGATTATGTGGTTGTAATTTGTGCATGGATGGTTAAATTTTAGGTTACTGACACGTTAGTGCTCACCCCTTCTTTAACATTTTAGGTAAGCTTAGTAGAGTAAGAGAGAAGTGTCTGGAAGTCTGGGGCTTAGTTTAAGTAAGCTTTAAGTCCCATTTCAATTTTTATAATAATTACTTGTCAGTATAAGACTCATTTGTCACTTGGGTTGAGTTTTAAAATTATTTATTATTTATTCATAATTGAAAATGATATTGTTAGTTAAGGCCTAAGGCCATAAAAATTACATAACGGATATATTTAGAGTAAATATTTTAATTTAGGATTCTAATTATTGAGATATTTATGGAATTAAATATTTGAATATTTATGGTGGGAGGTACATGCATATCCGCAGGCTGTAGTAAGCCTAAACTTTTGTTAAATAGAGTATTTATTTTTAGGTTTTTTTTATCTATCATGGTAGACTTTTTCTACCATGGTAGAGTATTGTTTATGGTTTTAAATAGCAAGGGTAAACTTTTATAATCTTCATAACTTTGTTAACTAGTTTAATCATTCTACAAGAGACTAGATTTTAAATATTTAATTAGTAGACAATTTTTTTTATAAAATTAACTCTCTTCTATACCATGATCATCTTTTCAAAATAAATTGAGAATTTGCTTTAAATCTTCATATCATGATAGTTATTTTTATTGGTTAAGTTTTTAATTACTAAAGCTAAGGCGTTACATGCTCCTTGAACACTCCCTCTCTATCACCAGCCTCTTGTTGCTGGTGGCCTCAAAGCTTTCCTCTAGCGTTTCGGAGTAAAGTGAGAAGAAACTTCAGGCACTCTTCAAAGGCCTTTATGAAGTTGTCCCTGTTGCTCAAGAAATCCACCTCCTCATTCGCCATTGTCACCACCCGTGGATTCATCAATCTAATCATGGAGATCACTCCTCTTTTCCCATCCATTCTCACTCTTCTCAAGGTGCCCACACAGTTCACAGCTGCCACCTTCTCCTCCTGCACCCTAACCCATCCTTGTCAACTCTCACAGGTGATTCAATATGTCACCACAGTTCTGGACCTCATCAAGAGAAGTCATTTTCATCGTCATCCTAATCTATGCTAATTTCAAGAGTACCTGAAGCCTCTGTGGATTTAATCACTTCAATTTCATAACCATCCAGTCTTTTAGCCTTAATTTTAATTAGGGTTTTGTTTTTCCCAATCAAATAAAGTGCGCTTACTTATAAGACTTGAAGCTATGAATTATAGAAGGTTAGAAGATTCCAAGGCTTTCTACACAAACCAACATTTGAAGCCATCCACAAGGCACTGGTACTTTGTGGGCACACTTTCAATATCATCTTCTTTATTTGCTCTCTTTTATTTAGCCTGTGGTTCTTAGTTTTTATACCTCTCTTTAGGTATGAATGTGCTTGGTACAATCATTTCTTCATTAAAGGAATGTTCTGATGACTTTTGGGCATCTTTTTGGCCACTCCTTTGTAATTTCAAGATGTTCGGGTTGATGCTTATAGGTAGGATGGATAGAGAGGTCAAAAGGCTCAAGAAAAGGCTTTTTCTGAAAGTGTTTTGATCACTGCCACACGTGTCAAATAAATGGTACTACTTGCTCCAGATAATGAATGTTTTTGCATTTTAAACGGTTGGGGCAGCATTATTTCAGTTTAATTAGTTTAGGGGTTACATTGCTATATTGAATAGTTCAAAGTAGCATTGCTCCTCCATGAATTCTTTAGGACAAAATTTTACTATAACCCTTAAGAAATTACAACTTTTATTCTGCGAATCATAAGAACTGAATAGAAAATCACAACTTTTCACATGAGCTCATTATTATTTTTTATCTTAGACAATGGGTAATTTAGTCATTTAACCTAAAATCATTAATGTCCAAAAGACATATAGAGATTAGAGAAATTATGATATTTTAAAAGACTTAATTGTTATTTATATATTTTGATAAAATTTTATTGTTATTTTTTCTAAAAATATAAGCGCTGAATTTGTAGTGATATGCATATTGTAAGGTATTGGTATGAGACCAATAACATACTTAATGAGACTTGTAGACTTTTGGTAGATTTATTAATTATCATTTCAATTTTGAACTCCTAAAAATGATTGCAAGTTTTTCCTTGATTGATCCGATATGTGACTAATGAACCAAAAAGAAAAAAAGAAAACCAGACTGGTGACTGGTAACAAGGTTTAATTTATCATAATTGCGGGTGATGAGCAAGTTAATTATCATGATCATTTCTTGAATTGGAGGTCCCCGAATGTCATTATTTATCTAATAAATCATCTCTTTTTCATTTTCATTTTTCACCATGAAAATTTTCATGGTAGGGCAGGCACGGCTCTGTACATAAGCATACTTGAGCAAAAACCTGTATACATATATATAAAGTAATGAATTTCACAACAATTTGACTGCAATACTATAAAAAAATTATTTATTTATACTTTAAAAATATTTTTTCAAATGCTATAAATTTACGTTTTGGTTTACTTCAACCTGAGTTTAAAATTTTTTTAATATAAAAGTATAGAACTCAGTTTCAATCAGACCAATTTCTGTACTTTTCATTAAAAAAAAAAAACATTAACATGACAGCATAACAAGCTATGCTCCTTCCTTTCCATGTCCTTCCCTTCTTCTCTCCCTTGCCCCTCCTTCTCTTGTATGCGTGGGTAATTGCTCTCTCTCCCCAGTCCTTCCCTTTTGGGTATTACAAATTATTAGTATAATATTATAGTTATAATTATTTGATAATAATGTATTACTTTTATAATTATAATTATATAAAAAGGACTAGAAAGAAGATATCTTCTTTATAATATGTTTAGGTTAATAATTAGATTGGATCAAATTTTTTATTTAAATATACAAAAATTTAATTTCCAAATTCAAAGTTATTTATTTCCTATTACATTTTTTTTATAATTTTAAATTTTCTTTATATTATTATTATAGTCAATTGAAAATTTAGTCACTTCAAACATACCGTTCTCATATTTTTATTATTGAATATTAATATCTATTTGATTCTCATATATTTTATTATCTCTTATTCTCATCCCCCATCAATTAAAAAATAAAAGTAAACTCATCATTTTTAATTTTTTTTTACTTTTGTTTTGAATCTCAACTTATCTATCTTTTTATTTGAATTTTTTTAACTATCTAAATAAAAATTTTAAATGCATACTTTTAATTTTAAATGTGAAATTTAAAATGTGATATTTTAAATATAAAATTTATATCCAAATTTGCACAAATAATGATCCCACATAGCAAAAATTTGGATTAATTTGGACAAGAAATGATAATACCTCTATATTTATGCTGTGTGGGATCCTTATTTGTGTGGATTTTGATATAAATTTTATATTTAAAATAGCACATTTTAAATTTCACATTTAAAAATAAAATTTATGTATTTAAAATTTTTTATTTAGACAATTTAACAAAATTTCAAATGAAAAAGAAAGATAATTGAGATTCAAAAACAAAAGTAAAAAAATTAAAAATGATGAGTTTATTTTTATTTTTTGATTGTATGAGAGACGACAATGAAAGATAAAAAAATATATAAGAGTTAGATAGACATTAATATTTAATAGAAAAAAATATGAAAACGAGATGTTTGAAGTGATTAAAATTTTAATTGACTATGATATAAAAAAATTTAAAATGATAAAAAAATATAATAAGACATAAATAAATTTGAATTGAAACTTAAATTTTTGTATATTCAAATAAGAAATTTCATTCAATCTAAATTCTTATTAATCTAAATATGTTATAAAGAAGATATCTTCTTTATAGTCCTTTTTATATAATTATAATTATAAATTAATATATTATTATTAAATAATTATAATTATAATATTATACAAATAATTTGTGGTACGCAAGAAGGAGGGACTGGGGAGAGAGAATAACTACCCACGCACACAAGGGAAGGAGGGGCAAAGGAGAGAAGAAGGGAAGGACATGGAAAGGGAAGAGCGTAGCTTGCTATGCTGTTGTGTCAACATTTCCTTTCTTTTAAAAAAAAAAGGAAAGGAAAGCATTGAACTTGGTGAAACTGAGTTTTGTTCTTTCTTATTAAAAAAATTTGGAACTTGAGTTGTTTTAAACCGAAATCTAAATTATAACATTTTGAGAAATATTTTAAAAGTATAGCATGTGGGTAATAATTTTTTTTATAGTATTGCAGTCAAATTGCTGAATTGTGCAGCGTGAAGTTATTGCATACGCAAGTTGATCTCAATACTACAAAAAAAAAAAAATTTATCTGTATATTACACTTTTAAAAAAATTTCTCCATGTGTTATAAATTTGAAACTTGGCTTGTATTGCATGGAGATTTGAACATTTTTTAATATAAAAATACAAAACTTAGAGATCGAGTTTGTGCTGATGAAAGAGGGGAAAAAAATTGGTCTTTGTCAATGCCAAGCGATACTCACGTGAGAAAAACAAATCAACATGCATGCATCCCCACCCTCACTTACCTCTCTCCACCCTACGTCAGTACTTTATCAGACCCAGCTCACAAAATGGATCAAGAATCATCAGAACAGAAGCTTTCACACATCGAAACCACGCATATAAGGTCAATGAGCGATCAGCTAAGCTCCATTACAAGTTTCAAGCATGATGCTTTCTCCCTAAACCGTGTTGTTCTTCAAGCAAATTTCTAGACCATCCTCTCAGAAAAACAAGTCACAGACCCACAACTTAAAGAGAGAGCATGAGAAAATCTTGAAGTGTTACCTAGTGATCATAAGAATACTGGAAGAAGGAGAAGGAAGAAACGGGAAAATAAGAGCTTGTCGGACCTGGAATTTGAACAGCCAAAAGATTTCATGGATCTGGGCTTTGTTTTCTTAGAAGACGATAAGCACTCCTCCGACTTGGCTTCCATTATCCTTAGGGTACAAAGGTTAGGGAAGAAAGATGAGAAAGAAGATGAATCTGATAATTACTCTGTAATCCAAAGACCTTATCTTTGTGAAGCGTGGCAAGTTCTAGACAAGTAAAGGAAGTAGAACTCACCGATGAATTGGAGAGTCCCGGCTCTTGACAATGAAATTGACGTGAAAGATAGCTTCAGATGGTGGGCTTTGCTTCCAATGTCAAATAAAAAATTAAGCCCTTGATGGAGGGAGCACTAACATAGGAGAGAGGTAAGTGAGGGTGGGGAGAGAAAGTGAGGTGGGAATGCGTGCATGTTGATTTTTTTCTTTCTTTCATGAGTACAACTTGGTTTAACAGAAACCATTTTTTTTTTTTTCATGAGCACAAACTTGATCTAATAGAATTTGATTTTTGTACTTTTATATTAGAAAAATGTTTGAATCTCGGCATGATATAAACCAAGTTTCAGATTTATAGTGTATGAGAAAATATTTTAAAAGATAGTATGTGAGTAAATATTTTTTTTTTTATAGTATGGAGATCAATTTGCCTTTTGTAGATGCGCTCTTTGTAAGAATGTCACTAAACTCCACAGTGACTTTGCAAATTACTGATATACTCGTACTAATGATGCGTGAAGTATTTTTCTTTTGCTGGCCACTCTCTTAGTAGTACGAGCATTCTTCAACTTACCCTTTATACTATTTGCACTGCTATGAAATTTTACATGGAAAATGTCGCTTTACAAAGTGAATCTCCATGTGAAATTCTAATATACTTTAAGAAAGGGGGAAAAGCTCAAACACGGAAGAGCAAAACATCAGAGAAAGTCACGAATCAATTAAAATCCTGTAAACTATTAGCAACCTTAGATCGTTGTTTAAGGGTGAGCTGCGTGGGAAGCTGTACAAGGAATGTAATTCTCAAGTTCCCTCTCTTTTCAGGATCATGGGAGATTGGCATGCCTAAGCCAGTGACTATCTTTTGAAACCTAGGTTAGACAATTTGATCACCCGTCATCAAATCCATGTGTTGTCCCCCCAATAAGGGTACTGAAATTGTGGAGCTAATGAGAGCCTTTAAACAGCTCGTGCCTTTTCTCTGAGATGCAATGGATAATGTCTTCTTCGTATGCTCCAAGTCTACCATTCGCTTTCCTTTAAATTTTATCTTTGTTCCTTTCTTCCATCCTGGCTTTACTTTTATCTTCAACGCTTCCTCCTCCTCCGTAATGTCCCTGTTCACAATTAACCACACTCAAATTAGCAATTAATCATTGTAATTTTTCTTAAACCAATGTCAAAAGGGGCGCAATATGATTGATACTCAAGTTTTTTTTTTCAGCTTTAGCATCGAATAGTTCTAATGAAAACCTGATATTCAAGTCGAGAAATGATGGAAGCAAACTAACCTAGAACTTGTAGGGACGTGTCTAGTGAGGTTGATTTGTTTTTTGCATCCGAAGCACAATTCTTCAAGGGTGCATTGAAGGTCTTGTTCAATTGGTGGCGGTTTAAGCATACCAGATGAGTTAGAATACATAATGCGACAAGCACTTCTGGGCGTACAAGGGTTGTTGTGTGCAGAATCATAGCTCTCCTTCTCCCTCTCCCTGCTTTTGAAGTTAATCTAAGCAATAAGCGATGCCATTATATTGCAGTGCGATTCTTTCTGCTCACGTTCTTAGAGAGAGCAGAGATGGAAGGGAAGCATTTATCAAGGCTTTCATGCCTATATAAATTACCTCTAGGACCCGTGCCCTCATTATCGCTTCTGAAGAAACTGGCATCATAAGATCTGAAGCTTTGAATCGTGACATTTGTGGTACTTGTCTCCTCCTGATCTCCTCCTTCAACAACGTCCTGGGTTAAGAATCATAATAGTGAAAAAAGCAGGTCGTAGTAGAGCAAAGCATTATGATGAAACATAAAAATTAGGGAGATATGTGATATAATGCCTGATAATCAAGAGATGAAATTCGATATCGGAGGGTATGTTTAGGAACAAGAACAGGAAGGGGGGATTCGGGAGGGGACAATGGTGATGGTTGCTTGCAGCTAAACCATTTTCGGAGGAGGGATTTGTATGACTTAGAGCTATTGATGTCGCAAATGGAGGTTATAGGAGAGACATCCAGCATTAGAAGAGAGACAAGGGGATTGCAGATGGAGGGAGACGAATGATTGAAAAATCCGAACCATGGCAGCAAATCAAGAATCAAGCACCATGCCTTTTATTAGCGACATCAATCAATCAATCAATTATCAGTATGAAGAAAGATGCTATGAATAGAGCCATGCATGGTTGGTTAAGGAGCTTGCGATTGACTGTACGTTATTAGCAGCTACACAGTTTAGCTAATTTTACGTGGTGCAATTACCTAGGATAATTTTTTCAAGGGAAAATTAGCAAGATGAATTTAACACTGCTAAGATTTATTATAAAGGATTATAAAAATTAAAATTACAATGAAGGATCAAGATAAGTGTAATTGATGCATTTGGCTTCCATGTATGTAGCAACTACAAGCATTGAGTACCTATATCCATAGGATAAAATCTATGCTATGAATTAAATCAACAATTCGTTGAATTTTATTGCAACCAAAATTAGGAAATATTGAATATAAATCCATCGAAAAAAACAAAAATATAACGATATAAATCCTACCCAAATAATATATTTACAAACTCGTCCATCATAATATTGTATAAAATAATAACATAATATATGCAGACTATCACATAACAACATGAGCGTCTACCAATAATTGATTTGATAGACAGTATAGATTTTAGGTATAGTCACCCAATATCTAGAGTTGCTGTGGAAATGAAATTTAAATCCATTGAGTATCATAACTTCAATATAAAACACGTCAATTTTGAAATTAATGTAGGGTGCTGCAAAAGTGACAATGTCACCCTTTTAAAAGTAAGGCTGTGCAATTTTCAATTAAAAACAAAAGGTAATATTAAATTTAATTAAATCACTATAATTTTAAAAATATTTACTTTTAAATAATTGAATCAATATATATATATATATATATTTAAATATTTATTTAAAAAAGTTAAATCAATATAATTTAAAAAATCTTTACTTCTAAAGAATTATTTAATTTTATCAAGAAAGCATTGTCTCAATTTCTAGACGTGCATATTTTTAAGAAAGGTGAGATTATTAACTTGTTGCAGGTTTCTGAGCATTAATTTAGTTTTTTGTTTTAGCTTGTTATTTTCGTCTTCTTGTTTTACTAAAAAAATTAAGCATATTTCTTTCAAATAATATACTCCCATCGTTTAAAAATATAAGATATTTTTAATCGAATCTCACTCTTAATAAAATAGTTACCTACTTTTAAACTAACTCTATCTTTTCATATTTATCCTTATTAAACACTATATAATAAATATAAAATCTATCAATAGAGACACTTTAAAAAAAGCAATAATTACACCTCGAAAGACTAAAAATGTCTTATATTTTTGAATATACAACTCCTAAAAAATGCCTTATATTTTTAAATAGAGAGAGTATTTTTGTTCCTAAGTCAAATACAATACATGAGAGGTAGTTAAAAAATGTAGGAGATTTCATTAGAGATAATATAATATTTTTTATATTTTGTGTTTGGTCCTTCCAGATAATTATTATATTTTTTAATATTTTCTCTAATAAAAATTATTTTCTTCATGACTTTTGTTATGATTTTCTCTTGTTTAAAAAAAAATAATAATAAAATCCCACCAAAATATGTAAATGACAATTAAAATTTTCAAAAATATTATAATTTCTCTTTTCCAATCACAATTTTTCTTTAAGCAATCAAAAATTTTATTCTATAAATTTGAAAATTGAGCAAGAAATTATAACTTTTTACATGAATTTTTTTAATGATTGATAAATAAGTTTTAAAAATAACCAATCCCAATTACAATCCTATTTAAGCAATAATAACTTTAATTCTGTAAATTATAAAAATCAAATAAAAATTATAACTTTTCATGTGAAATTTATTTTATTATTTAAATTTAAGTTATAAAAAAATCAATAATAACTTTTATTTAAACAATTACAACTTTTATTCTTTGAATCACAATAATTGAATAAAAAATTATAACTTTTTACATAAAATTTTTTTATCATTAAAATTTAATTATAAAATTTAACTAAAAGAATTAAATAATAAATCACAACTTCTAATGTGAATTCATTATCTTTTATTTTTAAACAATAAAATTTAATCATTTAATCTAAAATTATTAATATCAAAAGGTATCGAAAAGCTTCAAAAAAATTATGATATTTTAAAAGATTAAATAATTTTGCTAAAAAAAATTTAAATTATTATTTATATATCTTGGTAAAATTTTATTGTCATCTTTTCTCTCTTCTTTCTTTGTTTTAATGCCTTTCAATTAAAACTGGTCTGCGGTGCCTCGGTCTGATCTTCCAATTTTTTAACGACAGTATATATCAATTCTGTAGCGTGGTCCATGATGCTGCTTGATTCAGGCCCATTCGTTGATGCCCTGTTTGGGTCTCACCCTGGTCCACTGGGCACACCAAGCGGTGGAGTTGTTGTCCTTCATGTGTAACCGAAACTCGACCACGGAATCAATAAAGACTGATTCAAGTGGTAAACATTTAGTCCATAACCGTGAAACAATTTTGTTGCCAATGTGAGAAAAAATCATTGAAAATAACGTAGCAGTGATGATTAGGAAAAATCGTAACTAAGGAAATGTGAAAATCATTAGTAACCATCAAGGTCCATCAAATGTTGAGATTTAATTTTAAGCCTGTGATTTTTTTTTAAGTTTTAAAAAATGATGTTGAGTTTTTTAAAAAATAAGATAAATTGGTCTGTGGGTAGAAAAAATTTTATATCCAAAAAATATGGGTCAAATTTTTGAAACTTTGAGAATATGGCTTGTATTTTAATATATAAGGATTTTATTATTAATGTATAAGGAATTTATTATTAAAAATTTAAAAATATAATAAATTTATCATTGATATAAATAATATATTATTGATAAATGTAATAAACCAGTTATAATGTAAAATATAATAAATAGTGAATTGTTTGCTTGATTTGATCTTATAACATGGGTTATATTTATAAAAGTTTTAAAAGGAGACAATGTTTTGAGTTTAAAAAAGTAGTATTTTGATTAAAACACTCATGTCTAAAATGTACATTTAGTCATTTATTTTCAGGGATATTTTAGCCAAAACAATAATCTGTAAAATGCAGGAGAGAACTCTGGTTATTAAATTTAATTCCAAGATTTCATGATTCTCTATGTTGATTGCTAATTTTCGTAAGTCCTTTATTTGTGACTTTCCCGAATAACTATTTACACTACGGGGTACTTTCAATGTTAAATTAGGAATATCCCTGGGGACACACAATTACAAATCAGGATTAAAGTCGTTCAATCCTTGTTTAAAAATCATCTTAATTCTGATTTTCAACATTCAAATGCTAATCACACGAAATTAAAGCGTTCAAACATCGGTTTTGACTATCTGTATCCGTGTCTTTTCGTTAAAAAAAAAAAAAAAAGGAGAAAGGAAGGACGGGGGGGGGGGAAACCAGGTGAATGCGGTTGACTAACAGTAGGTCATATGTACGAGCGGAGCAATCAGCTAACCTCAAATATATACTTTGGATTGCAATTTAGCTCAGAGTGGTATGGCTGAGTTCCAGAAGGTGGACTCGGTCATAAGGCTCTCTTTCTGGGAAACTTCGAATTCCTGTTTGGAAGCTTCCCATTACCAACTCTGCCCTCTCATGTTATTTTATTGGTTTTCCGGTGAAGGTGACGCCGTGACAGATTACTCTATAAACTAAAGTCTCTCCCGCGTTTTCCCAGTCTGAACTCAAAAATCCGTGTTTGTGAATCACTGAAAAGTCCAAGGTGGGCCCACTTGCTCCTAAACCAGCGTCTGCTGACGCTACTATCTCCATCCTCCAGCCTCTCTGCTTCAGTGTCCGAATCCCTCAGAGTCTGTTTTGTCTCATCGTCTATACTTCCTCCCCCAGAAGCAGCACTATCCCTTTCATGCCGGCGATGGACGTGAAAAACAGGGGAATCGCCATGGCTCTCTTGTTCATTCTGGGATTGTCTTCTATTTTGCCTCTCTGTTTCTCGGATGCCAATCAACCCAGTCTCACCAAAAAGCCCCAACCACCAACTTCTAATAATCGTATTGGCTCCTCCGTTGTTCTTCGGGTTCAAGGGAATGTGTATCCCCTCGGGTATGTCTGCTTTAATGCTATTTCCTGGTCCTTGAGTTCTTTGCCCAATCGTTCTTCTTTTACTGTCGAGGGCTTCTGAGGTTTATTTCTTGCTCTCTTTTGTATGTCTATCGATCACAGTTCTTTGATCCTTTAACGTTAGTTATGCCTACATTCTGAGAAAGTTCAGATTTATCCGAGTTTGGACCGAGCTTCTCTCGTTGTTAGGGTTGACCGACCGAAAAATCTCGAACAAAAATTTTCCTTGAGTGGTTGAATCCCCAAGAATGATGAATTCATTCGTCTCATGAAATTTAATCTATAATGATGACAGATTAAAACATGAGCGTGTTTCTGTATATGCAGGTATTACTCAGTTTCCCTGAACATTGGCAATCCCCCAAAAGCTTACGACCTTGACATCGACTCCGGCAGCGACCTCACTTGGGTACAGTGCGACGCACCTTGTAAAGGTTGCACCAAGGTATAAACTAAGTAATCAACCAGTCTTCGATTACCAGCATCAAGACTTCTTTTATTATTGAAAATATTAATGGTTAATTATACAGTCTATATTCTGATCCATGAAGTGGGGTGTGTGTGGGGGTGCAGCCTAAGAATCAACAGTATAAGCCGAACAAGAAGAACCTTGTTCCGTGTGGGGACCAATTGTGTGCTGGAGTTCAGTCACCAGGGAGCCATCACTGTCAATCCCCCAATGACCAATGCGACTATGAGGTCGAGTATGCAGACCATGGCTCATCACTGGGCGTGCTGGTCCGGGACTACATTCCGCTCCGGCTCACCAACGGGTCCGTGCTTGGTCCTCTGGTGGCTTTCGGGTCAGTATTTTTCATATCATAGCTGTCTCTGTCATGAACACATTCACACTGCTTTTTTTTCCCCTTCCTTTCTTTTTTTGTTCCGTTTTGGATTGTCACAAACATTGTATTGAGGATAGGTGTGGGTACGATCAAGCCTATTCTGGTCCAACGTCACCGCCATCTACAGCAGGAGTGCTAGGTCTTGGAAATGGCAAGTCAAGCCTCTTGTCTCAGCTTACATCTCGTGGTCTCATTCGCAACGTGGTGGGCCACTGCCTAAGTGGGCGAGGTGGAGGATTTTTATTTTTCGGAGATCATCTCGTTCCCTCCTCTGGAGTTTCTTGGACCCCAATTTTGCCCGGTTCCTCCGTGTAAGTTCTGAAACAAGACAAAAATCTTAATCTGATGATAACAGACTTTTCATCAAAATGTCGCCTTTTTAGTTGCCAAATAATAATTAATGAGAACTTACGTACAATCATGGGCATGGCTTCAGAAAACACTACGTCTCTGGACCTGCGGATCTGCTTTTCAATGCAAAGCCAACTTCTGTGAAAGGTCTTCAGGTTATCTTTGACAGTGGGAGCTCCTACACATACTTCAATTCCCAAGATTATCGAGCCATCGTTAATACGGTGAGAAGCTCCTACCTACACATACCCCAACTTCATTTTGTTGAGATTATTTATACAGCGTCTTCAGGTAGCGACCCTTTTGAGTGTTGTTCAGATAGTTGATGATTTGAAGGGGAAGCAGTTGAGCAGAACAACAGCAGATCCGTCTCTTCCAGTTTGCTGGAAGGGTGCAAAGCCATTCAAGTCTTTGGGAGATGTGGCCAACCTTTTTAAGCCCTTGACACTGAGCTTCACTAGAACAAAGAACGTACAGCTGCAATTGCCACCATCATCTTATCTCATTCTTACTGTGAGCTACTCAATTCTCCTCCTCCATGGGATTAACAAATGAAATCAAGTCGTGTATCTTAGAGAGATCTGTTCTTTTTCAGAAATATGGCAATGCGTGCTTGGGAATTCTTAACGGCTCGGAAGCTGGACTGGGAAATCTTAACATCATTGGGGGTAAGTAAAGCAATCCCTTTTTCTCCCCTTCGGTTCTAATTCAATCATACGGCGTTTATCTTGCCTTTCTTTTTTGGGTTTGAACAGACACCTTTTTACAAGATAAAATGGTGATTTATGACAACGAGAAAAAGCAGATTGGATGGATTTCCGCTAACTGTGATAGGCTTCCCGAGTCATGAGCCTGGATCGATGTTATGTGGCTGTGCATGGGACTTTCTTGTGCAGACAGTGTCAGTGTGGGTCAAGACTTGGTGGAGTTTCCGCACCCATTGCGAATAAGTTTTAAACAGAACGCCCTCGTGAGAGTTGGTAACTAGCGGTGACATTTTTTTTACCAAGGAATTAAAATAAATTAATATTTTTATTTCGAAAATATCTATCTATTGTACTTTTAAATAGAAACGGGAATGAGAACAATTATTATCGAGTAGTAATAATGACATATAACAAACATATATTTCATGCTGCAAAATTATTTTGCAGATGCCAAACCCAGCCTTACATGCACGTTGAAGATTTAAACTTAAATATTTAATCGGATATATTTAAATAGATACATGGATAGCACAACTTCAACTGCTTCGTATTGATTAATATTAATATTAATGATTATATTGAATATTAATGATATTGAGAACATATTACATTTAATAATAATTATTATACAAGTATTAAAAATGATGACTTTTTTTTTTCAAAAGAAAAGCACCAAACAGGAAGAAAACAGAGGAGGGGAAAAGTTGTGGATGGGGAAGGAAGCCTAACTCATATTGCTTGTCTTCTTTTTTTTTTCTTGTTGCCGCCTGTTTGTCGTTGATGTTGCTACTAAGCACAAATCTCAAAAATCAATGGCCGTACGGAATTTAAATTGTAAAACAAATCAAGTGTTCACAACACTTTATTTTGTCGTCTAGAGGGGGCAAGTAACAGGTCCATGTGATGTAAGATACCACAGAAGCTTAATCTTCTTCAGTGATGTCCGGTGGCATATGATGGAATTATCAATGCTATGACCTGTACAGTTTAGAGGAAAACGACTAACACTTTAAAAAAAAAAAAAAAAAAAACTCTTTCTGAAGGAGTTTGAAGAGCAGTTGAAGCGGCAGATAATCTTCACGGTGACTATATTGTGCAGTTGAGGTTGACTATCTGGACCATAAATGTGAAGAAACCATAAGAACTTATACAGGAAGAATAAATCAGGTCGGTCAGTTCACGTTTTTGTCGTAGGAAAGTAAACACAAGACCTTCTATAGCACCAAGATATAGATCAGCTTGTACCGTAGTGTGCTAAGAATGTGAATGAGTAAAGCATGTAAAAGAGAGCTTGCTTGTGACACAGTGGAAATGGCATATCTGATCAAAGCATTTAACCGTACCGTGGCTTCAAGCATAAAAAGTAGCCACTTGACGGTTTTGAGAGAGAAAAAAAGTAACGCCTTTGATATCATTTTAGCTTACAATGCGATTTCTTCCTCTGCTTTATGCAGCTAATTCCTATTGACTTACCTGTACAATTAAACCATCTTTAAATTCCCACTTCGTGGGATAGGCTCCTTTTCAAACTCTTGCCTCAGAAAACCTTTCAAGACTAATTTACACTTGCAACTCAAGAAACCAGATCTGCCAGAGTACAAAACTGGACCTCCAACATAAGCCAACATATTACAAGCAAAACCAATTTCACGAATCCCTTCAGATCTGCAGCCTGAGTCTGAGTATTCAAAGGTCATCATCAGAGATCCTGTTGGACCATATAATCTCGATTTCAAGTGTTCGGGAAGAACCATCTTTGTTTCTGTCGTGATTAAGACTGAAAATTCCACTGTAAACTCCCTCGTTTACAACTTTATCAATTTGTATAGTAACTCTTCCAAGAGTTGCCTGAAGCAAATTAAGCAGATTTCCCATCAGTGGCCTTAGAAAGAGAAGGGATCCGTTCACATCAATACGGCGATGGGGCTCAATTACTCATTTACTGTGCCCCCCTCAAAGGAAACTAACAAAGAAGTATGATCATTTATGGCCAAAAGAAAAAGGAAAAAAGGGAGATCCTGCAACCGGCATAGTAAGAATTGCATAAACTATTAAGAGAATAGTAATTCATTCTTTCAGAAGAAAAGGTAGTCATTCATTACATTGACACGCAGAGAGTGAGAAGTTGCTTGAAGAAAAACGAAGTTACCTTGCCAAAAGTATTCTTGCTTTTGCATATGATGTACAGCTTCTGGCCCTTTGGAGGCACGTCAAATGCCCATGTGAATCCTTCTTTCCATTCTGGCGAAATAGTGTGACTCACAACCTAACAGTAACACATTACGAGTGGTAGATGTATAATCTTTAAAGGTAACCAGAAAATTAAAACTTCCTAGGGCCATTGCAATTTGGGACATGAAAACTAGAAAATTCTATGCATGTCAAAGAAATGCTATGCTGTGCATTGCACCTAAAGATGATTAGTAATTTCAAATAAAATATTTTGAAACATCAGATGTATAGCAGATTGACTAGGAACACAAAGAAAGGTTTGTGATATTTAAAAACAACAGATTAATAGATTGAAAAGAACAAATGACTTGCATTTTCAGCTTCCTGTAAACATTAAGGAACTTCAACCAAACACACAGGACGGAAAAATACTAGCTGCGTCTTTGCAGTTGCAGGTTTGCAGCCATCTACTTTATCATTTAGAAGGATCATTACCTTGGTTTGTTTCGGAGGACTGTTGCCTATTGTTAACTGGCAATATGCATTGGTACTTCCCATAGCTTGCTTGAGATTGTTTCCACGTTTAATGGTGACAGTCAAACAACCTGGTAAGCAATGCAGAAGACTATCTGCTCTCTCATGGAAATTTGGAGGACAGGTTTTCATGAGCATTTGCAGGATGGGAATGGCTTCAGCAGCAATCATAGCCTGAGACTTTGCTATGTCTATTGGCATGGTTGACCAAGAATGTCTCAGCAAGCACAGGGTGTCTAGTACAGAGTCTTGAGCCACTTCACTACCAGATTTGAGTGCCCCTACCAAATGAGGAATGCAAAGAGTTGCTGCTTCTGATACGTGGAGCTTAGGGAAGTTCGTGAATATCACGTGCAGAGTTTTCAAAACCTCTTCATTAATGGTGGCAGTTGACCACAACTCTCTTTCCAGTGCAGCTGCATAACAAACCAATGACAAGCTTTACATATTCTGCACAACCAGGAAACGACAGAACACTATACACATTTTTCCTTTCACTAAACCAGAAAACATACATAGTTCCTTAAAAATGAAACAAAACAAGAAAAACATTCTCCACTTGACCAGAAGCGAAAATTTACATTTCTTAATATGCTTATAAATCAAGGATTTATATTGGAAAAGAGGGGAAGAATAGTGGGAAGAAAAAGTAACTGATTTAATGCCATGCACCTGAAAAATTTGTCCCACCATCCATCCATTTTGCTAGAGTTAATCTAGAATGAAAATGAGTAAGAAGTAAAGACTAAGTAAAGGGAAGAGGAAGGAGAAGATAAATTTATCCATTGCCGCATTTCAAACTTTGAACAACTTGTAGATGTTTGTTATTAGGCATTTATCTTTTTACAGATCAATGTCATATAATTAGGTCTTTCAAAATAGTTTCTTTATATATTGATTTTTGGTGAGACACCTCCTAGAGTATTTTCAGTTAGCAGTAAAGACTAATCTCCCTCGAGCCACAGAAGGGGAAAAGGTAGATTTCTATCAACTAAATTTGCTCCACACACAAGCCAGAAATCAACTTCAACCCCCAATGTCAACGGACAAGAGTCTATATCACTCATGTCAACCTAAATTGATGATATGTTCATTTGCCTTTTTTAGAGAACATAGTAACTGATAACTTATGAACTCTAATTAAGTCTTGTTCAGATTTCAATCACCTAAGCAAAAGAGGATGAAGAGCTACTTGCTAAAAGCAAACAAATTTATATTCATTTAGCTTGGTATTTCAGAACTTCAAGAATTAAACATAAGCTTGTCAAAATTTATCCAAGTGCTGATCACATTATTTGACAGCTTAATCTAAAAGCCTTAGCAAAAAATAATTCTATTTGAATTGACACGTACAATTCTTGCATACAACTTTCATCTCTTCTCACAAAAAGTACTTGATCCTCATCATTTAAACAAAACATGAAGGTCTTATGCACAGCTAAAAAACTGAAAACAACAAAATACATGATACATAGGCTCCTGTACATGGTCCAGATCAATCATAGTTGACCCTGAAAAATTATTAATAAATGAAACACCCCCCCGGGGGTACTTTTCCACTGCCATTCCTCTTTAAGCATGAAAAGATAGCATTTTACAATTGGATTGGCAGAAAGAATAAAATTAAGCGTAGTCTTGGACCCCTCCAGGAATTTCAGGGAAAGATGATACAATAGTGTCCATAAGCAAGAAACAAGGTGACAGCAATTTGCCAGGGAATTCCACCCTTTTGAAAACAGTGTCCTTAAATGAATTACTAACATTATCAAGTTAAATGAAGAAAATTTGACAATGTAAAAAAGCATATATGATTGATTGCCTATAGCATTGACAAGCATGACAAAATTAACCCACCTGTCAGAGACCTGATCAGCTCATTTGACACATATTCTTGTAGTGTGTGAGTAGAAAATAAAAATCGGATCAGCAATGCTGCTTGTCCTGCAACTTCTGGATTTGGAGATAGCAGTAATTCCTGAATCACCAGTACGCCACCAGCTTCTGCAACAGCTCGCCTATTAGTCCTGCTGTTCATGACAAAGTTTTGCAACGCGCAAATAGCAACCATCACCATTTCTTCAGTTGGCTGATCCTCAAGTAAACTTACCAATGCACGACAAGCAGAAACAGAACCACTAGCTCTAGCATGTCCTTCATGCTGGGAAATATTTCCCAAAGCAAGAGCAACAAGAAGCTTGCTAGATGGTGATCGGGTCTGCAGGTCTAACAGATACTGAGATAATGGTGCTATTGCATACTTAGATGCCTTCATCTCTCTTATTTTTACATTGTTGAATAGAGCTTCAAGTAATCTGCCAGATGCTTCTTCACATTGATGAGATCTTAAAAGGTCTAACAGAACATCTATAGCTTCAGCTTCCATCATCTGTTCAGCGCTTGAAGCATCACTTCTTTCATGAATTATTAGGCCATTAAGAGCTACACTAATGGTACTCTCAACCGTTGAGTGCAACAGTTTTACAAGAACTACCACAGGAACTTTAAAATAATAATCAGCATTGGAACATAGTATATTAGAAAGAACCAAAGCAGCTGATTCCCAGAGTGCATGTGGCGGCTGAGGATCATCTTGAATAATAACCTTTGCAAGCTCAAAAATGCCTCCCGCTTCA